GCTTACCAAAGGCGCTCTGAATGAGGCCCTTGTTGCGGTTGAGGCCTCATGAGATCGAGGTCAGTGGTTTTGAAGGGGCGGTCGAGGTGAGTTCTGTCCCCTTATTTTGTTTCCTTTTCCTTATGTTTGCTTCTGACTTCCTTGTCGGCGCAGAGCTGGGAAGTGAAGCCTCTCAGGCGGCCGAGGCCTCTAGGTTCGAGGCCCAACGGTTGAGGGAGAAGGCCGAGGCCTGTCAGGCCGAGACCTGTCGCTGGGAGCAGAAGGCCAAGGGTGAGCTCCATGGGCTTCCGTCCCCAACTTAGGTTGTCCTTTCTCTCGCTCGACTTCATTCCGTTTTCCACGGTGCAGAGTCGGAGGCGGAGATCCTTCGGGCCGCCGAGGCTTCCAGCGCAGTGCAGACGGTGCTCGAGACCGAGATCGGGGAGCACGAGGCGCTGCAAGCGTCTTGCCTTTCCCTTCTGAGGCCTTGGAGGTCGAGGGGTTCAATCGAGCAGCTCCTTAGGAGCCGCTGATTCTGTTGAAAGCGACCGAGATCTGCGAAGCGGCTCCGAGGGGCACTGCACACGGGTGTCAAGCGGGCGCTGGCCGTCATCTCCTCTCACTACCTTGGCGTCGACCTCCCGGCCATCAGTGATGGCTATGTTCTGCCTGATGATGACGAGGAGGCCGACGCGGCGGTGGCGGCTGATGGAGGCGGCGGAAGGCCCTGGCACGGCGCTGGCGACGCTCTTCGAAGAGGAGGTGGTTCCTCCCCTACCATCTGCCGACGCTGAAAGGCCCTGAGCCTTGATCTGGGCCCAGGGGCTGTGTAAAATAGAATAGGGGTTATTTTTTTGTATCGTAACGCTTTGTGGCCGTCGAGGCCTTTGCTTTTGAAGTACTTGTGTTTCCTAGTTGTTTTTCTTATGTTTTCGAGCCTCTGCCCTCTGTCGTTCCTGATCGGATTTCGTTTGCAAAACACCCCTTGGGGCCTAAGCCGTCCCTTGAGCGAGAGGTAGTGAGGGGAGTCTTGTGGCAGGGCGCGTGGCCGTCTCACGACTCTACCGGCCTCTCGCTTAGGAAACAGCCTTGGTCCGAGGGGTTTTACAACTAATTCGTCAGAGCCTGCTAGGGACTTGGCGTAGGATTTTTTGCAAAACAACTGGAGAATGGCGCATGGGACCTAGGGGACGCCTAGGAAGGGGTCCCCTATCTAGCCCCCGAGGGAGGCTTGGTTCTGCCGAGGCAGAACCGAGTTTCCCTTGCCGTGTTACTGTATTGCCGAGGCCTACGATGGGCTCGGGGGGTTTCTCAAAAAATTAGACCAACTAAAGAACGCTTTTTAATTGTATTTCGAGGAACGACATATACAATGCTTGGAAATTTAGGGATAAAAGCGACGTAGCTGTTCTATGTTCCAAGCGTTGGTGAAGACTTCGCCCTTCTCGTTGGCCAGCTTGTAGGTCCCGGCCTTCAGCACTTGGGCGATGATGTACGGTCCTTCCCATGGCGGGGTCAGCTTGTGGCGACCCTTGTTGCTCTGTGCTAGCCTCAACACCAGGTCGCCTACCTTCAAGTCTTGGCTTCGGACGCGTCGGGCCTGATAGCGCCGCAGGCTCTGCTGGTATTTGGCCGAGTGTAGTAGCGCGACGTCTCGGGCTTTCTCCAGTTGATCAAGGGCATCCTCTCGGGTGGTGCGGTTACTTTGTTCGTTATGGATGCGGTGATGTACGTCGAGGGCCCTCCGTCGGGCTCCCCCGCCTTCGCCGCGACCTCGCTGTTCCTGTTCGAGGGAGTCTCGAAGCTGCTGCGGACGGAGTTGGTCTTGCTCGACCTTGGCCTGGAGCTCACGGAGCTGTTCTAGGTCTGGGTGCTGAGGTCGCGCAAGAGCGACGTTCTCATTTCGTGCGGCCGGCAGGACGGCGCGTGGAGGTGTAGCGACACCCACGCCGGGGCGGAGCGGGGAACGGCTACCTGCCCCCTCGTCCTCTTCGCCCGCCCTCGGCATCCCGAGCCCGACATGAAAACATTCGCGAGTGGGGTCGTAGATGCCCTCGTCGTCGGAGTCGGAGTAGCCGGCAGTAGTCGCTTGCGGCCAAGAATTGGCGCAAAAGCCCGAGGTTGTGGAGTTCGAGAAATCCACCCGGCCATGCCTCGCCCCTCGTCGAGGAGTCTCGAGTGGGTGCTCGTGGCGAGAGCGGCGTTAAGCGGCGTTCGAGGGGTGCTCGTGGCGGCGATGTAAGCGTAGGCATAAGAAGCGGCGGCATTTCTCAACCCAAAGGGGTATGGGGGCGGTGTCGTCTCCAGATTCTCGCCCACGGGTCGGCTCTTCGGGAGTGGTAGGGCGGAGCTGGACGACCGACATCGCCCGCGCCCATAGGCAAGTCTCCTTTGTCCAAGCTCGAGCTAGACGGGTCCCCACCGAGGACCCCGTGCCAACAAATGGTCGTGAGGATATTGGCGGGGGTGGCGCGTTGCCCCGGATTCGCGTGGCGTCGGGGTGGCCTTGTTAAATGCTGTGTGCTTGGCGGCGCGGCGAGAGCGGCTGCCCGGACGCCGCCTGCGCCTGGGGCTGCCGGGGCGTAACTTCATCGTTGGTTGGTGGGGCTCGAGGAGTGAGGAGCACCATGTCATACTCATGCCCTAGAGACATGAACTCTAGGCTCCCGAACCAAACCACGGTGCCGAGACGCAATGGTCGTCGTGGTGATGCGCCATCCGGAACTGTTGGGATGATTTAAAGCGACACCGACAGTCAGCGCCTACCTACAGCGCTGCCAATCGCCGGTGTTTGGGACCGGGGTCCTCAACCAACCAAAGAATTTATTCTGCGTGCTCCCAATCCGGATGGTGATGCAAAGAGACACAAGGTTTATACTGGTTCAGGCAATCGAGGCCCTACTTCCAGTCTGAGAGATCGATCTTGTATTCCTTGCACCGAGGTGCTCGTAGTAGGGGGTTACAAGCTAAAGGAGAGAAGGAGCTGGTCCTAGGTCTCGGCGGGGTGCCGTCTTGGGCCGCTTGAGACGTTGCTCTCCCATGGCGGAGTGTACGTGTGTGTTACAAGGTCTCCTCTTTCTTAAAACAACCCAGTCCTCTCCTTTTATAGCATGAAGGGAGGACTAGGGCGGTACATGAGCTGACTATACTGGCGTCGTGTGAGCAGGGCGGCGTGTCCGCCCTGTAGCTTTGTTCACTGTGGCGGTGTGGCCGTCGGAGTGGTCCATCCTTGAGTCTTGGGGGCGGCGGTCATCCCATCGATCACGTGCGTCGTGGGAGCCCCGGGAATGCCTCGGAGTGGGCGGCGGCGACCGTGCAAGCCACTTGTGGACGAACCGTGCGCGAGGCCGAGACTTGGTCGATCTGAGGTCGGCATTTATGATGGGGGGGTCTCGCAGCACGAACCCCAAGATCGTCGAGGCCCCCGGTGTGCAGTCTGCCGAGGCCTTGAGCGGGCGGTCGATCATGGGTACAACGTTTGGACACGAGTGGTCGGTAATCCCGTCGTACCTGTCCCGCCGGTATGGTGCCGATCGTGGACACAAGGTAGGACACGATGGCCGGTAATCCCGTCGTACCCTGTCCGGCCGGTATGGCGCCGATCGCGACCTCGGTCGCGTCGGCCATCCTGTGGCGTTGAGCCACCGTCCGGTGAGATTAAGGGAGTGGTTGAAGCATTAATGAGACATGACGAGTTGTTGGGAGGGTCGGCCGAGGCGGGGGACGACGGACCATGGACGAGCCGGCCTCGGCGACACGGAGAATGAGGCCTCATGGCGGAGATCGAGTTCCTTGCTGCGAGGCCTTGCGCGAGAGGCGCCTCGCGCGATCACGGAGAATGTACCCCTGCCGAGGCCTTCCCTGGATAGCCTCGGGCGAGACGGAGACGGCGCCCCCTGTCGAGGCTCGGCGCCCCCTGCCGAGACCTACCCTGGGGAGCCTTGCGCGAGGCGGAGTTTGTTCTGAGACCCCCTGCTCGAGGCTCGAGGCGAGGTGGAGGAGGGCTCGGTCGTGGCAGGTGAGGGACCCACGGCTTACCTTCTAACTTTATTTTGATGTTTGCTTGGGGTACCCCGTTCTAAGGTACCCGACATTGAGGTTCACGAACTTCAAAAATACATTTCTGGATCGCTAAATTTGTAAAGTGTATCCCACACGTAATTAAACTTATAAAAAGGTGCACCACTAGTCCATTTTTCTAGACCTGTGAACAGCATTGGGGGTATTTAAAATGTTGAATTTGGTACGAAAAAATGTTGCATCAATCCTTTCAAAATGTCAAATCAACATTGGAAAAGAAAATTAGTTCAAGATTTGACGTGAGAATGTGAAATGCTATATATTTGAAATGTTTAGTTTTACAATTCAAAATATTGAATACAATAAAATAGTGTCACAATATGTTCTTAGCTCCAACGTATCTTAATAGAACGATACACAGCTCTCATTCGTGTTCGAGAAAGAAAAGAAAAACAGTAATACCATAACTATAATAAGAGAAGAAAAAAAAGGAAAAATGAAACGAAAACATTCCTGATGTCCGTGGGCCATGGCCCTTTATATTGCGCCGCATTACTTTCGGACGGAAGATGTATAGGCCCAATTCATAGTTCTTAGTGGGTTGCATTGCTGGTAGCTGCTTTCGGACGGCAGATATATAGGCCCAATTCAGGAGTCCGGGAAAATGGGCTAGACGTCCAACGAACGACGTTCGTTTCCGAAACATCATCCGTCGCCAAGGTAACATACGACACCAAAGGCATCAGTTGCTTTCGTCGGTAACCCATTTGCTACTCACGAATTGATCCTCATCTGCGTAATACTAAAGAGTATATATACACCTCAAGTCGAAAGATTTCACGCACCTCGCAGGCTCGCAGAATGCCGGCGTTATTATTCAATATACTCACTGCTGACTTATCCTCCGCTCGCTAGACGCTACAACTTTAACATTTACAACGCGAACTGATGGCTCAAACCTGTTACTACTGAGTAGTAGTAGTAGCCAAAGGAAGGATGTTTCACCGAGCAGCGATTTCGCCGCTGCCGTCAACCGACACGCTCTCACCGGAGTAGTCGGCGAAGTGCTCGTCCGCCTTGGACAGCGTGTAGGCTACGTCCACCATGCTGGGGCGCTTGGACGGGTCCTTGTGCAGGCACGCCCTCGCCACGCTCACCACGCTCGCCACGCTCCCCGGCGGGCACGTCTGCTCCGCGAGCGCCGGGTCCATCCACGCCGCGACGCGGGCCTCCAGCCTCTCGTCGCGGCCCCGGAACACCCTGTCCTCGGCGTCCGCCCACAGCGGGTCGCCGCTCTCGTCCGCGGCCTCGCGCCCGGACACCAGCTCCAGCAGGACGACCCCGTAGGCGAACACGTCCATCTTGGTGGTGACGAGGCCGTCGGCGAGGTACTCGGGCGCGATGTACCCCTGGGTGCCCACGATGTGCGTGGTGACGGCGTTGTGGCCCGTCTTGGCCAGGCCGAAGTTGGCGATCTTGGCGCTCATGCGGTCGTCCAGGAGGACGTTGCTGCTCTTGATGTCCTTGTGCACCACGCGCGGCCAGGTGTGCTCGTGGATGTACTGCAGGCCGTGGGCGAGGTCGAGCGCGATGTGGAGGCGCGCGCGCCAGTTCAGGCGCCGCGCGCGGTCGCGGTCCAGTAGCCACAGGTCAAGCGAGCCGTTCTCCACGTATTCGTACACCAGGTAGCAGTCGCCCGTCGCCGAGTTGATGCAGAACCCCTCCAGCTTCACCAGGTTGTTGTGGTTCACCTGCGCACGAAATATACAGTTGCATATGTTGCAAAAAAAAAACCCTGCAGTGTCTGCATCTATGGGCGAAATGTTCACACAGATGCCATTCATCCCTTGTTTGCCACAAACCGTCATGGGTTGACGAGTTGGTGATGATGCTGATTCGAAGAAAAATTCAACGACCTACTAGTCACTGCACCCCTACGTGTTCGCTGTCAGGACAGCAGACTTCGTTAAAAATTGACGAATAGTACAACGTCGTACATCAGCGTGAGAAGACTCATGTATTGATGCCACCGTGTAGATGCGCGGCGTCATTAGTCGCGCATGTGATCGACGGCCAGAGCAAAAGCGCCAACCAAATGCAATGCACTTGACTATGTCCTGGCTTGCACTTATGCCCTGGGGTGGCTGGCTGGTGGGTGGTGACTGATGAAGTGACGGGCAAATATTATTACTCTTTTGCGAGGATGGTGAGCAATCTATAACCTCGAGCCCTCGACTATCTCCCTCTCTTAACATCGAGTTATCTTTTTTCAAGAAATAATACATCCGTCTCAAAAAGACGTAATTCTAGTTCGATCTAAGTCAAACAAACAAAACTTTAGCTAAGTTTAAAGAAAATAAGATCAAGCTTTATCAATTTCATGACGAGTTATCGATAATAAATACCAGTATATTTTTATCTAATCTAATCTAAATTTGATTAAATTTAAGAGAGTTAACACTAGGTGGTGATCGAGACCCGCCACACACTGGGCAGTCAAGCCTCTCATAGGTCGTGGCCCTACACGATACGTTACGGGGTATTAAAGCTGGCTGATAAGCCGGCTGAAACTGATTTATTGTGAGAAAAAAATACTGTAGATTCTAGCTGATAAGCCGGCTAATAAGTTCACGTTGGCTGATATGGTTGGATGTTCTTGTACATTTCTATGGCTCGTGCGATCCTTTAGTACCACCGCTGCCAAGTGCTGCCCTGCAGAACGGTCTGAACACATGGCATCTGATGACACTCTCAGCTACAAATCTAAAAATGAATTTCCTAAATCCACTACGGCACTACCATCAATAATTTCGCTTATGTCTTCAATCAACCAAGCGCCTGTTTAGTTCTCAAAATTTTACAAAATTTTTCAAGATTTTCCGTCACATCGAATCTTTGGACGCATGCATGAAGCATTAAATATAAATAAAAAATAAAACTAATTACACAGTTTAGACGAAATTCACGAGACGAATCTTTTAAGCCTAATTAGACTATAATTAGACACTAATTGCCAAATAACCACGAAAATGCTACGGTACCCTTTCTCATGAAATTTCGTCAACTAAACAAGGCCCAAAAGAAAGATGAATCAACCAATAGAGAGATGCATCTCTTGCTAGTTGATGTCAATGTCAGTAGCAAGATTCCAAACCAATGACCCATGCCTTACAAAAGGAAACTCAGGCACAAACATGACTTCAAAATACTGCTACATCACTACTTCGACTAGTTCTGTTGGCTGTTGTTAGTCCACTTAATGACTTAATTAACCACTGTGATCCATAATTTGGAAGAGAATAATTATAGAAGTGCGTTCCTTTGTTTTCTCTCCCAAAAAAAAATGGATATGAGCACAAACGTTCTATAATAATACTGTCCCAATTAGAAATGCACAAATTGTAATGGTCATCAGATCAATAATCAATAGGCCTGCAAGCCTTAGCGATTAGCCGTTCTTGGTTAGTGATGAGAACAAAATTAATTCAAAGCATTTTTTTTAGTATGAGTTGTGACAGCACTGCCACTGAAGCGAGCAATTCTCTTGGGGAAGAAACAGGGGGACGTACCTTTTGCAGGATCTTGAGCTCCTCGCAGGCGTCCCACTTCATCTTCTTCACGGCGAACACCACGCCGTCGATGTTGGCCTTGTACACGCTGCCGTTGACGAGGTGCGCGTCGTCGAATCCCCCGGTGCCGCGCTCCAGCTCCTCCACCTTGAACACCCTGTACTTGTCCAGCCACTCAGATATGTCGCTGACCAGGAACCTCTCCCCGCCGCCGCCGGAGGCGGACGAGGTCTTAGCGAACCTGCCGCCCTCGACGCGGTCGCCGCTCGCCACCGCGTCACCTCGTCGTCCCTTCGCCTTGAGCCGTCTGCACAAGCAGACCAGCAGCAGCATCTGCAGCAGCCAGAGCGCGCCGACGACGCCCAGCCCGACGGCAAGGCCGGTGACCACCCCGTTCCGGTCGTTGCTCACCACGGTCGCGTTGGGAGAAGCCGAGGGCGGCGGGGACGCTGGCGTCGCGGAGGCGTTGTTCCGGAGCACGATTGGGGGCAGCCAATTCGGCACCTGTCGGCGGAGCGGCACCAGTATCTCGGCGAACTGCTGCGTCCTCGGCTCGGGCCCGTTGAGGGAGACGAGCGACTGGGCGTCGACGGAGAAGGCGGCGGCAATGGACGCGTAGGTGTCCCCGGGCTGCATGACGTAGGTGACGAGCGCGGTGGCGTTGTTGTCGGCTTTGGCCGGGCACTGGCAGAAGATGGGGAACGTGACCATGGTGCCGACGTCGAGGTTGGTGGGCACCAGCGTGGGGTTCACGCGCTCCACGGCCTGGTACTGCGTAAGGTTCTGCAGCTTGGTGGTGGAGATGATCCAGTAGGTGTCCCCCGAGGCGATCTGGTACTGCATCGGCGCGTAGGAGTTGGGGGACCCCGAGGGGCAGCCGCACTGGAGCGGCACGAGCAGCGGCTGCCCGTTGGCCGGCGCGGCGGCGGTGGAGAGGTTGTTGGCGTGCGCGACCATGAAGCGGCTGACGGCGAAGAGGTCGCCGATGGCCGCGAGGTCGAGCGGCACGCCCCCGAAGCCGGCGCGGTAGAGCGCGTACGCCTGGCACGGGTACGTGCGGTTGGCGGAGCAGTTGAACCCCTCGACGGACGCCGGCGCGGGCGTGGCCGTGGTCGTGTTCTGCGACCGCGCCGGGGCGGGGAACGCGCACAGGCAGAGGAAGAACAGCAGCAGCGCGCTCAGCCTCAGCGCTGGCGGCGGCGGCCGCATCGTGGCTTTCGCTGTGGATAGGCGCGGCACGCGCGCACCGGGGCGGGGCCGGGTTGGTGGTGGTGCCGTGGTGGTGGCTATGCAAGTTGCAAATCGATGTGGGTTGGTGGAGATTGATATATGCGCCGGGCTGCCGCGCTAGTCACCTCACCTCACCTGTGTTCGGCTGCTGTCCTGAGCGGCGGAATCGTCAAAAGCGTGGGCGGCCGCTGCCCGTTTTCGTTCGTCCTTCGTCGTGATCCTTGCCCGGACGGGCTTGAACTTTTTTTTTTTTACAAAAGCCGGGCTTGAACTTGACTTGCGTGGGGATTGGGGCAGGCTGTTCGGCTGGCTGGTTTGTTTCGTTGCTGGTTCGTAAAGAAGTACTGCTAGTTGGTTTGTGTGAGAAAAAAATACTGTTCTAGTTGAAAATTTATGATCGTTTACGATAAGCCACAGCTAAACGAATAGGCTGTGAGAGTGGGGAAAGGGGGCCGTGATATTTTTCGTTTCTTGCGTGGAATTCTCCTGTTCTCTCCCACTCCGGTCGCTATCATGGACGACTAGTTCCCGTGGAGCCTGGTCGCTTTTCGTAATTGCGCTTGGACTAGCAATAGCAATAGCAACAGATTGGCCCGGGTCCATGAATTTTCCTTGGTTCTTACCACCTACCAGGAGGACGACCGTGCACACACGGATCTGGACCTGGTGAAGTGAGGTCTCCAGTCCCCTCGGTGCCTCGGTGAATCTGTGCCTCTTTCTCGCTGGTCCAAAAAAACAAAAATCATTCTGTCGTGATTGGTTGGTGCTGCTGTTGATGTTGAGGGTGATGCCAGTGTGGCCGTTTCAGTGTCACGCTAACGTGAAAGAGAGGATTGGCACTGTGACAGATTCGGGCGGTCAAGTCCCCGACGTAGAGGAGTTCTGCTGGAGACACCACAATCATCGGCTTCATTTGGAGAAGAAAATTGAAATCTTCAATGTTGTCCTCCCATCAGTTTGAAGTCTCAACTTCTGGAATGCCTGTATTGGAAGAGGTAACTCAAATCTGTTTGTTCTCCATTCAAATGTGATCAATTTTTGCAAGCTGAGGTTAGGTTCCTTCTGGTAAAAACGACCTAGGTTAGAGTTGTTGATTCGATACTGGTGTTCACATTATATTATTTGCTAACTGTTCTTTAAACTAATTCTGTTAATTGCAAAATCTACCGGTTCAATCTCTTATGAGTGCCTTTGTTTTTATATTAGTGAATACATGTGAGCCTCTATATGTGTGTGTCTTTCCTTTAGCAGTTATTTTTCGTTCTGTGCAAATTAAATTTAGATTTGATAAATTCACTGAAACAAAACCTGAGGATTTCAATCCATGCGAAAGCCAAGCTAAATGACCAATAGGGTAACCGGATTTCAACCCTGATTTTTTTAAGCAAGCTCTCGACCATAAAAAAAACTATAGTAGTACTAACCATTGAGAATGTTGCTGTTGGACCATGAAACAAAGACATAAATATGCTACAAGTTCAAAGTTCATATTCTCAAAAAAAAAAGTTCAAAGTTCATGTTAGGCCCAAAGTAGATGGTCTAGGCAGGACTGGGCATCCAAGAGACCAAGACCCATGAACAGGCCTCGTTTAGATTGCAACTTTTTTCAACCCGATGAATAGTACCACTTTCGTCTTATTTGGCAAATATTGTCCAATCGTGGACCAAATAGGCTCAAAAGATTCATCTCGTGATTTCCAACTAAACTGTGTAATTAGTTATTTTTTTACCTACATTTAATACTCCATGCAAGCGGCTAAAAATTGATGTGATGAAGAGAGAGTGAAAAAACTTGAAATTTGGATGGTATCTAAACAAGGCACAAGGAAAGCACAGAAGTTGGGCTGACCCTGTCAATAATTTCGGACCTGCACGTGAAGAAAGCTCAAATGGCCAGTGGGTCTGCTGGGCTGGGCTAAATCAGACCTGGGAGGTCACTGTTTCGACATTTACTGTCCGTCACTCTTTAGTCACATTTTTTGAGTTTATAATATTGTAGGTTGCTTATGGTAGTATTTATTAATCCGTCAAAAAAAGGAAAAATTAGTGGTATTGTTTTCTCTCATCATTGTAAAAACTCCTACTTAATGAAAATATACGTGCTCAGTACATTAATTAAAAAATAAAAAAAAGGCTCGGCAGACCAGACGCCAGTGAGGTAATGACCTAACAGAGCAGACTAGACTGGAGACTAGAGAGCGTGAGCCTCGTGGACTTCTATCTTTTATCACGACTTCACGGTCACGCGGTGTTTATGGAATGAACGTTTCTTTGCCAGCAGTCAAGTGGAAAAGTCTGGGATGCGACCAAAGGCGGACGCAGAAATGGAGGTTTGGGCCTTTGGAGGAAACGGCAGGGAAGCTTCCTACCTATTTTTTCCTTTTTCTATATTTATGAACAGAAACAAAATTACATATGTACAGAGTACCAGGCTAGCAAAGCTCAAAAGAAAAAAAAAGGGAACAATTACAACGACTCTCTCGCCACACAGATAGAATTCTTGGCTTTGATGCACACCCAGCCAAGGTCCTCCTTGAGGGCTGCTCTTCCATTCCACCATGTGCGTATTTTACCCCTACAAATCAAGAACATGTTCCACTGTAATCAAAGCTCCTAAATGTACCGTATCTCTATCAAACCATTCTAGCTCAAATGCTCAATGGTGTAGGTGTACATATACCTCTATACCTGGTGTTGCTTAACTGCTTTGCGCAGCGCAGGTAGGGCCCGGGCGATGCAGACGCCTCCGCAGCCTGCGCTCGGTTTGTGCCGTTTCACTACTGGAAAACTGTACTTTGCCGAGTGCCTGATATTTTGCCAAGTGCAAAATATCGTGGCACTCAGCAAAGTAATATTTTGCTGAGTGTAGCACTCGGTAAAATTTTGCACTCGGCAAAGCAGGCTTTGTCGAGGCACTCGGCAAAGTCAGGCACTCGGCAAATCTAGACTTTGCCGAGTGCCACTTGGCAAAGCCAGGCGCTCGGCAAAATTTAACCGGACCGTGACGGCGGCCACGTACCGTCAGATTTTAGGCACTCGGCAAAATTTGTTTTTATTTTTTTTTAAAAACTTTGCCGAGTGCCATCCTTGGACACTCGGCAAATTTTTTTTATTTTCTGAAAACAAATTTTGTCGAGTGCCTCCTGGGCCCGGCACTCGGCAAAGACATTTTTGCCGAGTGCTCCCCACGGCACTCGGCAAAATATATTTTGTTTTTTTTATTTTGGACCCAAATTTTTTTGTGTAGCCTTGTGACAGTATTTAAAGCTCTACTCTAAAAATTGGTGAAATTTTGACGTTTTGAGGTATATTTCATTAATTTATTTCGTTTCGTTGATTTTTTCGGTGTATTTCAAATTTAAATGCAGGTCCATGGAATAATGGAATTTGGTCATCCAAAAATTGATATTCATGATATTTAGCGTATATTGAGGCAGTATCCAGGGAGTCACATGAAATTTCGAGCATCTTGTTGACATAACATGTCGAGTTAGTTGCGGGAAAAGTGAATTTAAATTATATAAAATCCAAACGAAGTCCGAAAATCACGAACTTGTGGAGGCGTCGTGTTATCGCATGTGGAGGTTGTGGTAAAAAATTGATAAGATTTCGAGCAAGTAGTGACGTCGGATGCCAAAAACCCAGACATCTCCACATGTGATCACTTCGTTTCACATGTAGAGATGTCTGGGTTTTTGGCATCCGACGTCACAACTTGCTCGAAACCTTCTTAATTTTTTACCACAGCCTCCACATGCAATAACACGACGCCTCGACAAGTTTCGTGAGACTTCGTTTGCATTTTATATAATTTAAAATCATATTTCCAGCAAGTACCTCGACATGTTACGTCAACGAGATGCTCGAGATTTCATATGAGTTCCTGGATACGGCCTAAACATACTCTAAATATCATGAGTATCAATTTTTGGATGGCCAAAGTCTATTATTCCATGCACCTGCAGTTCAAATTTAAAATATCCCGAAAAATTCGACGCAACAAAATAAACTATTGAAATATATAAAAAAAAGTCAAAATTGCTCCAAATTTTAAAATAAAGTTTGAAATACTGTCACAAGGCCCCAGAAAAAAATTTGGGCCCAAAATCAAAAAAAAAAGTTTGTCGAGTGCCATGGGGGGCACTCAGCAAAGTGGGCTTTGCCGAGTGCCGGCCCAGAGGGCACTCGGCAAAGTTGATTTTCAAAAAAAAAATTGCCGAGTGCCTGGGCGCTGGCACTCGGCAAAATAAGTTTTAAAAAATTAAAAAAAAATTTGCCGAGTGCCCAAGGCTTACACTCAGCAAAATATGTTTAAAAAAAGTTTGCCGAATGACTAGGGCTGGCACTCGGCAAAATAAGTTTTTAAAAATAAAAAAATTTTGCCGAGTGCCGGCCCTAGGGGCTCTCGGCAAAGTTGATTTAAAAAAAAATTGCCCTAAAAGCCCACCCCAACCCCGCAGCATGGCCCAACCCTCGCCCCCCGTACCCGCCTCGCTCCCAGCCCCCCCCAGCCACCACCCGCGCCCTCGCCCCGTGAATCGCCGCCCGCCCGCCGAGCCCCCCGCACCCGCGCCCTCATGCCCGGCCTCGCCCATGACCGCTCCCGTCGTCGCCTCCAGGTCGGTCACCCGCCTCAAGAACGGCGCCACCACCGTTGCTTGCCTCCAAGAACGGCCTCTCAAGCGCTGCGTGCGCGCTGCCTACTCCTCAAGCGCGCTGCAGCGCAGAGATCTGCTGGTGCCCTCAGCTGCCCCACGCATGGCCCCCTTTCTCATGCAGCGGCCATGGGAAGAAAGCGGAGGTGCGACGTCCTGAGCCCTCGCGGCGCAGCTGGCCTGAGCTCATGGCCCCGGGACGAGCGGAGCCCTTCGTTGGTGAGATTTTCTAATCTTGTCATTAGGATTAGGGTTTCTGGAGAGAAATTGGGGATTTACCCTTGGTTTTTGGCTTTTGTTTCTCTGTTGGAAAACTGATCTTCT